TAAGTTGAGCTTCAGAGTATGTGCTAATGGCCCTTATTAGCAAATGAATGCAGTGAAGCCACCGGCTGGCCAGGCTAGTGTGATTTCTGTCACTAATATATATATATATATATATATATATATATATATATATATATATATATATATATATATATATATATATATATATATATTATATATATATATATATATATATATATATATATATTCACATTATGCTGTATATTCATTTTATCCTATGTAGGCTACTACACTATAATTAGGCTACCATCAAGGACATTAATTTATAGAGGAAATTAAAGTTTGCCAGGAACAAGTTTATGCAACGAAAGAGCTTTATTTAAACAAACACAACTATATACAAAGCGAGGATTTGCCCACACATGGGTAGAGGATGATCCAAAAATTACAACTCCGTGAACTGTGCGTTTGCCTCCTCGGGGTTGTAGGTAACTGACATAGTTCTTTCCGAGGCAGGTCCGTTGTGCAGTCGCCTATTGTGCGTGGCTCTGTACTTTCGCGTCACCTCTAACTGGGACTGTAGCTTCGCACAGAGTTCAGAGAGCTCCGGGCTACGAAATGACGGCGACCATACAATCCATCCAGAGACCCCGCCAATGACGCCATCTTCTTTGTCAGACATGAGGTCTACGGTGTGTCAGGGATGAAGCAGACAGACGGATCGTGGTGCGCCAAACTCTGGAAGTTTATTTAAGTTTCTCTCAAGTTCCAGTGGTTTCCGTTGTTTCCTTCTCTCAGACAGAATGAAGTCCGTACACAGTTTATATAGTCATTGTCACGTCACACATGGAAAGACATACGTGTCACACAGAGACAGTCACATCATAGTCACAATAATCAGAGTCCTTGTACAGTCCTGCACGTAGGCCATATTGCTATCTAATACTAACAGGTGGCGGACTTCCAGAGTTCCACCTTGTCATCTGTTAGCACATTCTGTCTCAATTTCAGCAGCTTTAAAAAAACAATGAATCGATACTGTGCGATGCGATGCACTGCGTATGGATACAACACATCTATGCATACACCTAAAAATAGTCATCAAATAAAGCCTTACCAAGCCCCGGTGATCCAAGATGGCGCCCTATTCAAATGAGTGGCTTGTGCTCAGTAGCGCATGGGACTTCACGGGGACAAGGAGATTAGCAGAACTCGCCTATATTTGGGCATTTTCTGGTCCTCCCGGTTCTGCGCAGTGGACAAGCTCCCATGATGCGTTGCGCCAAATACGTGTGTGTGGCTCTCATACATGCGCACGGAGGGGATCGGAGGGAGAGGGAAGAGGAGTACATAGAGGGATGGAGGAATAAAGTTAGGAGAGGGAAGAGGGGGTTATGAAGAGGGGAGGATTTCATTTTAACATGCACGTCTGTGTTGACATTAAGCTGCCCAGCTTCCCTGGGGTAGACCGAAGTGAGGCTGCCATTTTGCGCCTTCTGCCCTTTCGATCACCACCACATTCACACAGGCAAGGTGAATGAAGAGTCTTGCCCTAAGACAACGACAATGTGCACACGCAGGAGCTGGGATTCTAACCCCTGACCTCTTGTCCATTGGACGTGCGACACATCTAAAGCTAAAATAGGACAAAATCAAGTCTAAACCAGGACTAAATCATATTGTCGCAGAGAAGCCATTTTGAAAAAAAAAAAAAATACTTATTTTATTTATTTATTTATTTGATCGGGACAACACACATTAATGAACAATCATATACAGTTGTACACAGATTGTAAATGTGCCAGATTATAGCAAAACTGCTAATTTACATCTGTAGTCCCGAGGCAGGTCACACAAGTAAAACAATGTATGAACAAAACATACATACAAAACACAATATAAAAACTTTATAAATCACATTTTAGTTAAAATGAGTGCATGACTGATTTACTTTGATGTAATGTTTAAGTTGTTTCTTAAAGGAGCTGTATGTCGGGCATTCTCTTATGTCTGTAGGAAGGCTGTTCCAAGACTGGCCTCCTCTGACGGACAGCACAGTTTGTCCAAGTGTTGTTTTTCTGTGTGGGATCTCCACATCTCCTCTGGAGGAGGCTCTGGTGCGGAGACCCCTCATTGCTTTAAGTTTAATGTAGTTACATAGTGGGGGCGGGGCAAGACCATGAAGTGCTTTGTAAACAAGGCAACAGTTTTTAAAATTTATGAAATTTTGAAAATTTAGCATTTTATATTTTTCCAGGATATTGCAGTGATGATATGACCAAGGCTTTTGATCCAGAATTTTTATGGACTTTTTGAAGAGGATTTCTATGGGTTTGATATTTGTTTCTCCAGTAAGTGACCAGGTTGTAATGCAGTACTCTATGTGTGAAAATATCATTGAGTGTAGAAACATCTTTGCTGAATCTGTTGTCATAAAGGGCCTGATTTGTTTGAAGTTCTGTAAATTTAACTTTATTGTATTCGCAGTGAGCTTAATGTGTTTTTTAAAGGAGAGTGTTGAATCCAGTGTGACCCCGAGATATTTGAACTCCTCAACAAAGTCAAGCTCAGTGTCTCCAAGGAACACATTGGACCGATCAAGTTTAATAGATTTTTTTGTGAATATCATTGACACGGTTTTCTTTTTATTTAATAGTAAGGATGAGTTGTTGAGCCACTGCTGTATGTCTGTCAGAGGTGCAGTGAGGGTAGATGATGCCTCCTCAGTTGTTTTAGCAGGAGTAAAAATTACAGCATCATCTGCATACATTTGAAAGTGGACATTTTGACAAAAATTTGGCAGGTCATTGATATACACAGAAAAAAGTATAGGTCCTAATACAGAACCTTGTGGGACCCCTGCAGGGCATTCTAGAAATGATGACACGGTGCCATCCACATTCACACACTGTCTTCTATCAGACAAATAAGATGTAAACCAAGCAAGAGTGTCCTCGGCCAAGTTAAAGTGAGTCAATTTAGAAATAAGGGCTTCATGGTCTACTGTGTCAAATGCCTTCTTCAAATCTAAAAAGACTACACCAACACAGGTGTTTTTGTCAAGCATGGATTTGACAGTTTCTACAAAAACACAATTGGCTGTTTCTGTGGAGTGGTTCTGGCGGAAGCCAAACTGCATGGGGTGCAGGGGGGAGTGGCCATGGCTGAGATGTTGGTTGAGCAGCTTGGCTACCCATTTTTCAGCTACTTTTGACACCACTGGTAGTATGCTAATGGGGCGATAATTTGATGTAAGAGTCTTGTCTCCAGATTTAAAAATAGGTGAGACAGTGGCCACCTTCCAGCCTGATGGAACAACTCCCTCACTGATTGATAAATTTATCAGATGAGTGAGCGGACGCACCAGTGTGTCCATGTGTGTTTTGAGAAAATGAGTGTCGATTCCGTACACGTCTTTTGCCTTTGAAGATTTAATGGACTTGATAATATTGGCCACGTCCCCGTCTGTGATTTGCTCAAGTCTAAGTACTGGTATTTCAGGATCAAGTGAATAATGAGCTGTTTGTGGTGGGCAGAATAATTGTTTTATTTCATTGACAGAATCAATAAAGAAATTATTAAATGTAGTGGCCAGTTTGTGCGGATCATTTATTAAGATATTATCAATATTTATTTCCATTTTAGGATTATATGATTTCTTTTGCGTTCCAATAAGTTTGTTAATATTTTGCCAAATAATTTTGCCATTTCCATTGGCACTTTGAATTATATTGACAAAAAAATTTGCTTTGGCCTTACGTAAGGCATGAGTAATCTTATTTCTCAAAGATGTAAATCTGAATCGGTCTGTAGTGAGACCAGATTTCAAAGATATTTTAAGTACAGCGTCTCTTTCTTTCATGAGAGCTTTACATTCATCGTTAAGCCAAGGTAGATGGTTAATTTTTTGTTTACCTTTTCCCCTTTTTATAAATGGTTCCATCACCTCTTTCATTTTAGAATTATATGATTGAGAGCAAATTTCAACATTATTCATTGTAAACAACTCGTCCCAATTTATTTCACTCAAAGCTGTATTCAGATTTTGATTTTGAGATTTTGGAATAAAAGTACATTGACGTCTTAGGGTAGATATGTTGCCAAATCGTTTTTTACTCAGTTTTCTGGAGAAAAGTATAATATTGTGATCTGAAATGCCCGTAATAAAATTATATGTTTTAATAATTCTTTCAGAGCGGTTTGTGAATAGCAAATCAATTAGAGTTTCAGAATTATTTGTGATTCTTGTAGGATTTTTTATCATTTGTGTTAAATTATAGTAATGAACAATTTGTTTGAGATTTTTCCGCTCTTTTTTGTCATTCCAATTAACATTAAAATCACCAATTAAAATAGTTTCTTTGGTTGTGTCACAGTGATTAAGGAGAAGTTTAAGCTGTTCGTAAAAATCTACTTTTGCACTCGGTTTTCGATATATACATATTATATTAAAGGACATTGTAGGAGAGAGTAATATATGTACACCAACACATTCTAAAGTAATTTCACTGGGCAAATAAATCATTGTGCATTTAAGAGTGCTCTTGACATACAACAACACTCCACCGCCCCTCCCTTGGTCTCTGTCTTTTCTGAATACATTATACCCAGGCAAATTAATAACAGCCTCAGATGAGGAACGAGTTAACCATGTCTCTGTGAGTCCCAGAAAATCAATATTTGAACCACACAGCAGATATTCTAATTGTTCACGTTTAGGCGTCATACTTCTTATATTGAGATGACCACCAAATAGTCCCTTTGGTTTAGATGAAGGATCCCACACGACTTTAGCCTGATTGAGTGTGCGGAATATTTTGGTGATTTTATGCCGTTTGATGAACGGCTTCCTGCGTTTAGTTGGTAGAGAGTGCATTTGGTCAGTATGGTCATCGACAGTTTGTGTGGGCGAAGTCACACACTCACCAATGCGCAGTCCTTGGTTCTTCCCGCTGTCGTGTGCCCTCTCCAATGAACCCGTAGACAACGGAGCAAGCCCCCCAAGGTCCGCTGAGGGTCTCGTTGTAATAGGTCCAACAATGCGCTCGGTACACGGAGAAACAGTTCCCTGGACTGTCCCGCGATCCAACGGCGACCACACCGCAGACCCGGAAGAGCCGTCAACGGGAACCGGGACACCCGAGCCAGAGGGAAACCAAGAACACCTCAAATCTACCGGGTCCACTACGCGTGGGTACCCACATCCAGAACAGAGCGAGGGCCCAGACCCACAGCAAGAGCACCGCGACACCTCCAGCACGCACGTGCGGGGCACAGACCCCTCTGGACGCGCAAGTTCCACGGTCTCCAGGCGCGGTCCAGGATGCGGTTCCACCACGCCCGTCGCCTCCGGTCCACGCAAAGGAACAACCACAGGGTCCACAGCCCGAAAAAACGGGCCAAACAGGTCAGTCGACCATGTCCAGTTGGTAATATGCGGTGCGTCACAGCCTGTTGGCACTGAAGTTGTTTGCGCAATGCCAGAGCTGTTAGGCGCTGGTATTGGGCCTGGGTTGAGTTGAATGTCACCAGCCAAAAGTAGCACAATGGCCAACTGGGTAAAAATCACATTAGTGCTAAATGGTGTTGTTTTCTTCGCCGTCTCGGATTGCATTTTTGGGGATCCTTTGTTAAGGAGTTTAGAGTATAAAATGTTGAGGCTCCTGTCAGCTTGAGTGTACAAGCAATTATTGTACTCTTGCAGGAAACAATGCCTTACAGACAAGGTAGATAATGCCACAACATAGAGCAATATAGTCCAATTTTGTAAAGAAAATCTTGATGGCTGTTTTAAATAAATGAACGAAGTTTGCAAAGGGCACACAGCACCTGCCGAGCCGTGCGCACCTATGGCAGCCATCCATATGGCAGCACTTCAAACCCAATTTAAAAATGCAGTGCCGTAGGAAGTAGAGGCTATAGAATGTAATGAGGTAAAAAGTATTAATCATATAATATACTTAATTAAAGTAAAAAAACGTATAATTTGCACAACCTGATCAAATTTCAGTCCAGGACAATACACACACATAAAACTACTACTAACCTAGTTCTCCTTCATAATCCTTGACATCTTCCGCCCGATATCTCCAGTTATGGATAGAAAAGCTGTGCTGAAGATTCTTGAAGAACTCCTACTAAGGTCTTTCCCAACAATCCTATTAAAATCATGCAAAAACTGAAACAAAGAAAAAGTAATTCGAATTGGAACACACTAATGGAACACATGTACGCAAATGCAATTAACTTGTTATAGACCGTGGGAGAAAGCGGAATGGACCTGACAGTGTGAGCGACAACAGTGGCTTATCTGGCCTACAGAGAGAGACTCGTCGAGACCCAGCTAAAGCTAACATAACACTGGTTATGTCAGATTTAGCTGACTCACTGCTGTAACACAAAAGCTGCGCACCGGTGTGGCCTCTATTCCGTTTTACGGACGTCTGACGGGCAGCAGCCTATGCGCGTAAACGGAGACGCTGCCGGTGGAGGGCAGCATTTAGACTGAACTCACTTGAAGAAATGGGCAGAGTCTGCACTGCTCCTGCTGGGTCTGACAGTAAACCTGCAGCCACAGCAGCCCTTTCTGGACCAGTTTGGACACCCCTGACACAGGCCAAATTTAGAAAATAGACCCCGCCTCTCTGAGTAATTTTACCTAGTTTAGTAATCACTGCTGAACATTATTATTTCAATCCAGTGTCATGCAAAAGTAGTATAAACAGCTCGTAAACATTAGTAGCCACAACAAATTGGACGAAAACATGCAATGACAACTAAACAGTTTGAGCTTTTACAAAATCCGGGTTTACAGTGTGCGAACTGGCTGAAAGTTGTGGATTGCGTCACCTGGGGTGAAACTCCCCCTGAATCCTGATTTGCTTTTGATTTGCTCACAGAATGTTTTCATTTACATGTTAAAGCCTCTGCTAGAATTAGGAGGAGGGGGGAGCAAGGCCCACGTAAATTTTTGACAATTCATGGCAGTTTTTGGTGTTGCCTGCAAATTACCGTGGACAGCCGTTCACCTGAACTTCCATGGCAATCTACAGTGACGGAAATCACACTTTTCATGCAGTGATCGTGACCATTACCATGCAATTAATCAACAAAAACAGTGACAGCCCTAAAATATATACATAGTATCTGAATGACATTGTAAATACCAAACTTTTATCAGTTTCTGTTATCAATACCTTTTCGACCAAACTGTTTTGCAAAGCAAATTATTTGGGAATGGATCTTTTAGGAGTTTTTGGTTTATTTATTGCATATGCATGTACCCAGGGTGTGGACGGTTTGCCAGGTTCTAAAGGAGATAATGGAGATCCTGGGAAAGCTGTGAGTAGAGCTTCAGATGAATTGTGTTCTTCAATTGAAGGAATAATATTGATGGTTTCATAATCATTTCTAAGTACAAGCAATGTGTCAACATTGTCAATTACGTTTTAGGGACCACCAGGAGCAGCAGGAGAGCCAGGTCCTCCGGGAGCCCCAGGACGAAGGGTAAGTTTCAATAATAAGAATGGAGCCTTTATTTCTATTCAGTCCATCTCTATCTGGATTCACCACAAAATCCTGGGCTGTAGGAGAGATTTTAACATGTCACATGTTTTCTCAGGGTCACTTGGGAAAATCAGGAACAGAGGGAAAGCATGGTCTCAAAGGAGCAAAGGTGAGTTTTAAAGTCAGGCATAAAGCTCCTGGGTCTGACAGTAAACCTGATCACATAGCTCCTAGGATCATCTGAGTACTCAAATTCGGCCATCACGTGGCAGTGGCAGTCCATGGGGGATTTTTGTTGTTGTTGAGGTACAGTAGCTCGGGCATCTGTTCCGGATGCTTCTTTTTTATTATTTACAGCTAAACAAATAACAATAAATGACAAGAAAGGGTCACATTTCTTGCCTCAAATGTTGTTAAAAGTAGCATTTGTGCCCTATTTATTGTATTATTGATCAGAACTGTCATCTTGGACGTGGTTCTGTTGATCCCAGAGTTACGAACTCCACTGTCATCACTATAACAGCTGCTTAATCCTCCTCATTGTTGAAAATAGTTTTCAGTCAAAATACGAGCGATACTAAGCCGCAAAAAGCTTATATGTGTGTGTTTTCTGAATGAATGAATAGAGTATGTGGAGGGCGGGCAAAGTAGGTGTATTATTTTTGTACATAAAATACCTTTTCACTCTTTTAACATGTTTGCACATTTCCTGTCTTTTTTGCGTTTGAGTGATTCTATATATGCCAAATGTGACATGTACATTTTGCCCTTGTGAGATCAATTAAGTTATAACTTTTCTTATTTTTAAACCTGACTCACTTATCTCTAAAGTGACCTGAGACACATTGGAGACGAGTGTGACATGTCTGGCAAGTGCAACATTCATGTCAGACCTAAAGCCTAGCGTACATCGGACTGGCAACTGATTATATCCATCGCATATGAGTTGCTGCCCCGCACACATCGACAATCTGACGAAAACGGGCAACTCCTAGTAGCAGACCAGTCTCGGGAATAACAGCGCATACATCGACAGCAACTGGCCGTCAACTACAGTGTGTTTTCTGACATAAACATCGGGTCATATCTCCGAAACTGAGGACAACTAGTTGCCGAAAAGTAGAACACGGGCAACTGACTGAAACTGGAGACCGACTGTTAATCTCCAGTTGTAAGAGCGCGCACATCGACCGATTTCGGCAACTGATCATCTCCCACCATCTCCTCTCAGTTGCCAAAAGCCGCCTTGCAAATAGTTGTCTCCAGTTTCTCTGTCGATGTACGCTAGGCTTTACAATCCTTTGTACTACAGGGGGCTCTGGGAGTGGAGGGGCCTGTCGGAAAGACTGGGCCTGTGGGAGGACAGGGCCATCCAGGAAAAGCAGGACCCCAGGGCCTCAGAGGCATTCCAGGACCAGCGGTAAGTGCATATCACACAACACCAGACAAACACCAATATAACTTGCTTTTGTGTGTACAGGGAGAACAAGGGTTAAACGGACCCCCAGGGCAGTCTGGACCCCCAGGACCAATGGTAAGACATACAACATGTTCACCTGTAACCCATGCTTTCATGACCTGTGTGGGTTTCCCCTAGGGTCCGCCTGGATTACCAGGACTAAAGGGGGACCCAGGGAGGAAAGGAGACAAGGTGCGTACATTTGTGGCCAGCGACTTTTAGAGACCACCTTGCCTATAGAAGGAGCTGTTGTCACTTTAGACCGACACCAAAGTTCACACAAGGGTTGAAGACTGGAACAGGGGAATAAACCAAATTCAGAGCAACAGAGGAGTTTATCAAAGGGGTTTTAAAAATTAAGTGAAACTCATTGGGGCCAGGCAGACAATCAACACAACAGTACAGGAAGAAGATTGAAATGACTACATAAAACCAACTACCAAAATTGATTATTTGCTATTATAGAGCAGCTTGGCATTGTATGCCGCTCAAACAGTCCCTGGGCTTTACCATTGCAGATGGTCCCTAAATCACATGGGACCTTTTGGGAATTTTTGAGCAGATAAACAATTCTTATACTAATAACAGGTACCCGGCCCCTCACATTCTAAACTTTACAGCACATTTAGCTGTAGCTCTCTTTTCGAACGTCGATTTAGTACAAAGTCATCACCAGGTTCCTGTCATGCCTTAAGATGTAGCGAACTGTGTTGTTTGACCTGTTGGTGGATTTATATGATAACCTAGTGACCATCCGCAATGAGAAGGAACACTTGGAACACTCACAACTTCACTTGCTTTTTGAGCTTCAAAGTGAACACGGGTTGATTGTGATGGATTTTTACTTCACAAAGCTTACTTTTCTTATGGAAAAGGTTTTCGGAACCCTTGTTGGCACAGCAACAGCGACACATTTGTGCTATTTCTGTTTACTACTACCAAAATAATAATTATGGCGCAGTCGTTAGCACTTGTGTTTCATGCTGCAAGAAGGTCATGTGTCCGATGAGTGTGTGTTTGTGAGTGCGACTTTGGGACAACGGATGTACTACGGAAAAATACTAGGATGATACCGCTGTTGTGGCATGTGTGAAGGGGGGGATAAAGCAGAGTACAGGGAGGTGGTGGCTCCCTTCTCAGACTAGAGTGAGAAGAATGGTCTGATTCTCAATGCGTCCAAGACCAAGGAGATGATCATTGACTTTCACAAGAGCCCTTCGTATCAACCAGTCACTCTAAATGGACTAACAATCGAAGTGGTACAGTCATACAAACACCTTAGAGTCCACCTGGACCACAGACCGGACTGGTCAGCTCAGGCCAATGCTGTCTATAAGAAAGGTCAGAGCAGACTTATCTTCCTAAAAAGACTGTGGTCCTTTGATGTGAGCAGTCAAATGTTGCACATATTTTACCAGTCTGTTGTAGCTAGTGCTGTTCTTCGGGGCAGTCAGACCTTAAGAGACAGAAACCGGCTCGACAGGGGAAATGTGTCTCTGTGATGGGGAGAAGTGTGAACTATGTCAGAGCTGTGCTTGAGAGAAGGATTGAGGGCTCTAATGCAGGGAATCTTGGGTAACTCCAGACACCCTCTGCATGACACTATGGCCGCTCAGAGGAGTAATTCTGGCAACAGGCTCGTATCACTACGCTGCAGAACAGAACATTTTAAGATATCCTTTGTTCCTTTGGCTGTCAGACTGTACAATCTTGCCGGCATTTGGCAACCTATGGGAGTCGTGTGCTTCGATGTGAGTGGTTGAAAGCAGACGTCATTCAAGAAAACGGACAAGTGGTTTATCCAATCACATACAAGGATTTTTTCTACAAGGCCCTGCCTTTCACTCCTATCACGGAGTCCCAGACCAATGTGGTTCAGACAAACACCTCTGGTGGAGCATGGCGGAACTACATGGGTCTGGCAGAGCCAGGCTAGCATTTCAGCGTTGCATTTTAGACTTAGACAGACTTTGATTAATCCACAAGGGTACATCTTGCTGTTTCCAGTGGTGTCTGCTAGGCTGATTCTGCTGGAATTTAAAAATGCTGGTTGTTTTGGTGCTTTCTGATGGCGTTAACCTCAAGCCCCACCCAGGAGTTTTTCAGGGCCGAACGAAGTACCTACCATGGAGTAAGTACTCAGTTGGTCCCGGTAAAACAGCAAAAACAATAATACATTTGAAAATAAAATAACAATGAATAAATCAACCATTCAAGCCTTTTTACTGCTCAGTTTGCGACATACTGATCCAATCTGATGTGCCCAAGCCAGATACCTGGCATCTTTTCTTTTCAGGCTTTGAACTGAGGCAACTTTCATTATCGAACAAAGGTGTTCATCAGTCAGACGTATCCTGTGAGACGTTTTCGTCATCTTCATTGAGGAGAAAAGTTTCTCACATAGATAAGTGCTGCCTAACAGGAGAGGGCATTGCTGGCGTGGCAAAACATCAGCAGAGCATTATGGGATGCAGTGAATACGGTGTTACAGCGGCATCACAGATGTATTATCATTATTATTATTATTAATATTATCATTATATTATTATATTTTGCTGCTACTGGACACCTGAATTAAATAATAAATAAAGTATCTATCTATCTATCTAATACCGGTGGGCCAGCTCTAATTTTAGTTTGATAGTGCCTCAATGGCAAAATGAAATTACACGGCGGGCCAAATTTGGCTTGCGGGCCAGAGTTTGACACCCATGGCTTTGTAGGGGATGGTCCTCCAGTGGACACACACACCAACGGCGCTGGCCCTGTAAAACTACCTCAACTTTCCAGCGGTGGAAACTAGCTCATGTTTTTACTTTTTCCTGCACAGGGCCATGGTGGGCTGATAGGTCTAATAGGACCCCCGGGAGACATAGGAGAGAAAGGAGATCGAGGGCTCCCAGGAAACCAGGGTCTGCCAGGAGCCAAAGGAGAAGAGGTACTTTGACCTCTCCATGTGTAGATGGTCTAGATTAACATGGCACTCTGTTTGGCTGTAGGGTCCAGTTGGCCCCCCAGGCTTTGCTGGCCCCCCAGGACCAAGTGGGCTTTCTGTGAGTTTGTTCTCCCATCCTCAACATTAAGGGTATAGTATTGATCATAATTGTTTTACTGTTGCTTTTCACAGGGTGCTATTGGTGAAAAGGGGTCCAAAGGAAACCAGGTAAAAGATAGTATACAGTAGAGCCCTGCACTTGAGCCCTAGAGCCGAAGGGCCCGACAGCCCAGGGCTTCGGGCCCATGACCGTATAATTACCTCTGACACGGGCAAGACTTTTATTTATTCATTTTCAGAGCGACAGATTACATTTACGAATCCACCCAATGAATATAGCGTTCAATCATGCTGTAGTGTTTGTTGTTCTGTATAGTATTGTCATTGACAACACATAGCGTTACCTTCAAGTGTGTTGTTGTTTATTGTGGCATCTGGAAATCATACAGCTGTGGCTGTTCACTCCGTACACACAGAACTCATTGCAACACATCACTACCATGTATAACTCCGCCCTCTAGCCGGGCCTGTGTTCATATCAGTGCGCGGCACTTTACACTACGCTAAAATATGGCGGCACGGTGGCTGAGTGGATAGCACTCTCACTTCTCAGCAAGAAAGTCCTGGGTTCGAATCCCGGTCGGAACAAAGCCTTTCTGAGTGTAGTTTGCATGTTCTCCCCGTGTCTGCGTAGGTTTCCTCTGGGTACTCCCCTACCTAAAAACATGTACAGGTCTGGGTCTGGCCTGTACTGGCAACCCCGCTCCCATCTCTGTGTGGAGTGAGAGGACAAATGCTCAAAAATAACAGTTGTAAACTACTTTGTGATTCTGGTCTGGGAAAGGAGACGATAAAAATGACCCGGATAACATGAAGTACGCAAAGGTGCTTACTAACTCAAGTGATAGTATGCATTTCTGATATTTGTTGCGCATGGTTACCTGCGTACCACTTATGTGCACCCCTGACTATCTATACATACGCACTGCTGTTTGTGCTCAGGGGCCTGTCGGTCAAAGAGGAGATGATGGACCAGCTGGCCCTCCAGGACTTCCGGTGGGTCATCTCCCACTTTCAAACACCACATGCTTCTTTTAGTCTTTTCACTATTATTGTTGTTTGCTTGTGCCCAGGGCCTCGCAGCTGTAGGGGTCTCTCCATTGCCTTATCAGGGGCGTAGACGCAGGGCCCACATCTCTGTGGACGGAGCCGCTCTGGAGGAGGAGCAGACTAACAATATCAACGCTATAGATATCGTAGAGGAGCTCCAGGGAGACCAGCCGGAGCAGAGCGGCAAAGCCATGCAGGAGGTGTTTGCATCTCTGTCCTCCATGAAGGTGGACGTAGAGGGTTTGAGGAACCCACAGGGCACCTACCTGAGTCCAGCTCGCTCCTGTAAAGAACTGTGGCTGCTGCAGCCTCAGCTGCCCAATGGTACTCACACCAGGCAAACATACACATAACATACGTCTGCTAGGGCTGATCAGTGCAGTATAGAATAGTCGGGTCAGCGGTAGAAAAGGAAAAGCCAGGTACCTTTACACACAAGCACTCACTCATTATTATGTGGTGTTTTACCATGAACACTGACCAAGACAATAGAAAAGACTGTGTGTATTATGATGTAATGTGCTGTAACCTGCTCCGACCCTTTACTCCTAGGAGACTACTGGATCGATCCAAATCAGGGCTGTCACCGAGACGCCTTCAAAGTCTTCTGTAACTTCACTGCACAGGGAGAGACTTGTTTGCATCCTGACAAAAAGTTCCAGGCGGTGCGTCTCACAGCTCACTTTAGATCCTTGTACAATTATAAGGAGTTCTGAGTTCTTATTTGATGGATCTCTTTTTCTGTTCAGGTTAAGTTAGCTGGATGGAAAGGAGAGAAGCCGGGCTCCTGGTACAGTCACTTCAGGAAAGGCAGACAGGTACACAGGTGTTCATGTGGTATCAGCATATTTCAAAGAGCCTGCAGTGTCCCATTGTGGTGAAAGGAAGCAGAAAAATAGGGCACAGCAAAGAACACATCGCAAAGGATGGTCTGTTCACAGGCTGCTACCCTCTGGGGGCAGACTATCAAAATAACAGCTTGCTCAGCACCAATTATCAAATTTAACGCACATATTATGGACCAAAACCTTGTCAAAATTATAAATAAATAAATACATGTCACAATCTACAATTTTTTTTATTAAGATAACGCTACAAAATGAGATTTAATAAGTATATATTATTATTATACAACATTATTGGTTCAAAACTAAATAATAATAGTTTATTATTTTCTATCTGCATTTATTTATTTCCGTCTTCATTCAAAAGTTTAGATTTAAAATAGCTATGGTATCATCAACTCACCCTTTTTTTTTGCTGATAAACGGTATAAATTAGTTTCCAATAGTGTTGTGTACATATCCTGGTCATAATTTTGTCCCTTTAGTGCAAATTAATTGAAAGATCAACATTTGAATTTTTAATCTGGAGCCACCTTTGGCGGAGCTGTGATGGCTGACGTCCGCAGTGAAGGCTGGTGTCCGTTGCCCTGCCACTCTGGGGTATATAAACCGAGAAGAAATAGCAGAGAGTATTTTCATTGATTGTCAGCTTTGCAATTAGTTATAGCATTTAGGTAGATTTTTGTTTGTAAAACTGTTTGTATTATAGATAATTGTGTAGTGTTAACAGCATTGTTGTTGAATATTGTAGTTTTAGTCATTAGTTAGTTGCTTTTATTGTTAGATTAGTTAGCTGAATTTAGCTTAGGACTTTTGTTAGTATTACTAATGTTCTATATCGTGTGCAATTTCATTGTATATTATTTATTGTACTTGTGTACAGTAAATACTACTTTATGTTTGAGCGTGTGTTAAATTACTGTCTCTTTTGTGCACATTGGGGTATCATTTCTATCCAAAATGTCAAAAAAAAAAGTTTCCCTCGGGGACATCAAATTAATGTTTTGAATTTTATAACTATATGACCCCACAACATATAGTTTATCTTGGTTTGGGTTCATAATAAAATGTACAGACAAAACTGGTAACTGTTTGGGAATATGGGAAGGCTACATAAATGGTCACTCTTGTCAAAGGTTCGATTCAGACAGGTTAGCATTTCGGTATCCGGATCCCTACATGATTGCTCTTCAAGACCTGTGACAATCAGTTTGTACTTTTTATTCCACTCTAATAGTCTGGAACTCTAAATGAATTGCACATTTTAAGAATTGTATTAAATTGACCTCTTGGCCTTAAAGTAGCAATATGTAATATTTGCATGTCAAGTCATCATCAAATGGCCCCAATATTTCAAAAGGCGTAATTAAATCATGCTCTTTTCGAATACATCTTTAACTGATAACAGTAGTTAAACCGAGATATCTGAATATCAAAATTAGTTATACAACCGGTAAAAGTTGTTAATGTTTTCATTTTTATGTCCTACCCGCTAACCTTGCCTGCAAGCTGAATTCTCGCGGTATTTGTGAGTTCACAAACACTCGAATACATCTTGTCCCGCTCCCGCCAACCCTTTTCGAGTCGAACATCTAGGTGTTCAAGCCAATCACGCAGCAGTCTTGGGGTTTAGGGTGGGATATCCGGGTTTGACGAAAGCAAGAAGGGCCGGGCCGAAGCAAAACAAACATGGCTACGCAGGAGGACGGACGCGTAGCTGAGGCTATCAAGTCAGTTTTAGCAGAATCTCCAATTTCTTTTTTGAAAGATGAACAGCGAGAGGCGCTTTGTGCATTTCTGGACGGCAAAGATATTTGTGCATTTCTGGACGGCAACCTTGGTAGGCGGGCACACAGCTTCACTTCGCCCAATCAGCTTGAAGTATTCTGTTGCTTATCCCTTCTTTCCCCGAAAGAATTGATATTGTGGAGAACGTAGAGTTCTACACAATCATCAATCTGGCTCTTGCCAGGTTACCTACCCGCCCCTGTTTCGCCAATCAGGAAGATCGTGATCCGTGTTGTCAGAACTCCTCGCGGCTAATCTCACTGGTAAAATAAGATGTGGCGCAGAACGGTCTTGTTATGATTCTCAAATCATTAATGACAAAACAAAGACTAAAACAACCGGTAAAAGTTGTTTTTGAAAGGATTTATATCCTTTCAAAAATTGAGACAGCGGATAAGTTTTTGTGTGATGCAAAACTTGCTGGATTTAGTCCGTTTTCCACCGCTCCATGTAACATGTGCAATGGTGGTCAAGTGGTTAAGTCACAGAGTCTGTGTTCCAGTGTCCCAGGTTCGAATCCAGATGGTTGTTACTTTTTTTTTATTACAAAATATCACGTTTTATGACAGATTGCTGAAAATCAGGTAAAAGACAATAATTAAGACAATTTTTGCATATTATAGTTTATTTGTAAAGAGAATAATTTGAGACCACATGTACCCCAATTAAAATAATGTTAGTCTCTATTTGATGTGGGACTTATACATGTATGTCTAAAAAATAGGGAATAAATAAACTTGAAGGGTGATATCCTCTGGAGCAAACCCTGATGTTGATACGCTGAAGAAATACGTTCCAACATTCATTCTTCCTACTCCTATTTTGGACATCAATTGCTTATTTATTTTGCATAATCTATGTATAATTAAATTGCTTTTATTTTGTTTTTCTCATCTCAAATAAAAGAAAAGAAACATTCATTCAAAACATTCAATCAACATTAGCACGGTTATCATGACAATCTGAATGGAGACAGACAAACCACCGATAAAATAATGCCTTGTGTTTGCTGCTGGATTTGGTGTGTATCTGGCAACCTGAGTCAGGGAGAGTGGGAGAGGACTACAAAATATTCACTGTGACTGCAGTACCACTTTTGGCCAGATTTTTACATACTGTTCCTTTAAATTGATATAAAATAAGTCATTTTATGAAATCTATTATTACGGGTAAGTCCCGCCTTCCCTTTTCTTAGCTATAGCTCAGAATCCACGATGCCCTCCACGTTGACCAATCAAGTGATGCCATTGGCTGTCAATCATCGGCGCCGATGCTCGTAGCTGCGCGTATGCTCAGGTGTTTGTTTTCACAGAGCCTCCCAATCAAGCCTTTATAGGCTCTGGAACTACATGAAAACTTAACAAAGAATTCTGAACATCCGCGCTGAGTTACCCATTTATATACTGAACCTATATCCATAATCATTTATATACTGAACCTATATCCATAATCATTTATATACTGAACCTATATCCATAATCATTTATATACTGAACCTATATCCATAATCATTTATATACTGAACCTATATCCATAATCAGATCCTCTGCAGATGTGTCCTATAATGTTCAATCAACGTTAATAGCTACTACCGGCTTTACAGAGATAGCTTTTTTTGTGTATTAAAACATAATTTTTTCATGAAAACGTTAACAAATAATTCTGAAAACTTCCGTGCATGTGTATTAATAATGTATATGTATAATGTGTTCTCAGATTAACATGTAAATGTGTTACGAAAACGTAGGCATAGACCAATCAGAAAAGAAGGGGGAGGAAGCTTGGGTCGTTTTTTTCAAATCCTGCATCGCTCTCTTTTTTCTGACAAACTCCAGACAATCACTTTAATTAGTTAATTATTTAAAATTAGGTGAGTTTATTTAACGAATGCTTCATATATGTGTAAATGCTTATCTTAAAAAATTACTGTGAAAGAGTCCCACAAGCTTCACTTTGTGAATTACTTATTTAGCAAACGTGAAATCCAACGTAAACAAGGACAAACATGAAGTAAATTACCCTGGTCGTACCACACCATAGTACAAATGACATTTCGTACTAAGGTCTGGAGGTGCTCCATTGACTCCGTTAACAGGTGGGAGGGGTTACCTTCCTTTGCAGATTGAAACGATTGTATCTGAGTTTACTGTGACGTATGTAGTGCGCCCGAGTCTGTTGTTAGCATTTAGCCTAGCCATCTCCTTTGCCACTAACGGAGCCCGTGGGGAGTAGCGCCACAATTTTTTCCAGCGATTACATTTGCTAAACATTACCCTTTCTCCGGCTTCAATTTCTTGATAGAATCAGACCGGATTACTTTACTATCGCATTTTTCGCCATTTCCAAACTGCAACCTGCCTGTTCGACGCAAACTCTTGACATCACCCACATCTAACTGCCTTCCGCGCTCTCCGAATGGTCGGTCAAAATTAAACCGATTGTAATCGCTAACAACATAGGGACTAGACTAGACTAGAGTGTACGGATGGCTAAGGCCAGGCTAGAAGTGAATGCATATACAGTGCCTGGCGAAAGTATTCGGCCCCCTTGAACGTTTCAACATTTTGCCACATTTCAGGTTTCAAACATAAAGATATAAAATTGAATTTTTTTATCATGAATCAACAACAAGTAGGACACAATCGTGAAGTGGAACAAAATTTATTGGATAATCTAAACTTTTTTAACAAATAAAAAACTGAAAAGTGGGGCGTGCAATATTATTCGACCCCTTTACTTTCAGTGCAGCAAACTCACTCCAGAAGTTCAGTGAGGATCTTTGAATGATCCAATGTTGTCCTAAATGACTGATGATGATAAATAGAATGCACCTGTGTGTAATCAAGTCTCCGTATAAATGCACCTGCTCTTTGATAGTCTCAGGGTTCTGTTTAAAGCGCAGAGAGAACCATGAAGACAAAGGAACACACCAGGCAGGTCCGAGATACTGTTGTGGAGAAGTTTAAAGCCGGATTTGGATACAAAAAGATTTCCCAAGCGTTAAACATCTCAAGGAGCACTGTGCAAGCAATTATATTGAAATGGAAGGAGTATCAGACCACTGCAAATCTACCAAGACCCGGCCGTCCCTCCAAACTTTCCTCTCAAACAAGGAGAAGACTGATCAGAGATGCTGCCAAGAGGCCCATGATCACTCTGGATGAACTGCAGATAACTACAGCTGA